TATCAAATCTATCTATTTCGTTCACTAAGAAACATTATAAAAGTCAAAGAATATAGACTAAAAATATATTTGTACATATCTTAAACAATTCTTTAGAACAGAAAAAAAAAACAATTCATTTTAATTCAATGTGAACGAAGTTAATTCAAATCTTCCTAACCCACTTTTATAATCATTAAAATATAATAGAAAGACTTACTTTTTAGTGCTTTTTATTTAAAGAAAAAAAAACATTATTATATACTTGTGAAGAACTAAATTTTATCTTATTCTATTGATCATAAGAATATATAATGCATAATTAAAAGTTATTAGGATTAAACTTGCCTGAGGAGGTGCAAGTTCAGAGGTTTGGAGACGATATTCATGCATAATCCAATCTGTTTTTCTACCATTAGGAGCACGACCTTTATAAAACACCAATGTCTTCCTCATCCCAATCATTCTATTCTTTGACACAACTGCCTTATCCCTCCCTGTGGCCTTCCAAAACCCGGCACTTGTCGCTCGGTTTGTTCGGGTTCCTGTCGGGTATTTCCGGTCCTTGTGACTAAAGAAGTACCACTCCTTCTGCTCCTCGTAACCAAATTTACAACTCGCTGTGCGATTATGAAATTAAGAGTGAGTTTGACGAGAGTTTTAGAGGAATAGAAGGGGCTTTAGTTGATCAAAAGCACTTTCTAAATATATCATGATTTTTAACTACAAGGTCCAAAGAAACGCTAAAATAATAAGTGTTTTAAGAGGATGCACATCTAGTAGCTAGTTACTTCTTACCCATTTAACGCCACTTCGTTTTTAGTTTTATGTTTTTTAAAACTATGTTTGTTTGTTAACAATTTCTTTGTTATGTTTTCACATTTCTTAAAAAAACATATGCAATCTTAGTCAAATTCTAAAAACAAAAACAAATTCCTGAAAACTACATTTTTTTTAGTTTTCAAAATTTAACTTATATTTTGAAAAGATTTTTAAAAAATACATAGCAAAATAAAGAATAAATGGGTGAAAATAGCGTTTACAAGCTTAACTTTCACACAAGAAACTTGTGAAATGCAAAATGGTTATCATTTAGCGTTTGATTTATCACTGAAAAAGTGTTTAGAAAAACTGAAAATAGGAAGACATATGTTATAGCTAGGCTATACACTTAAATTAAGCAGTGTTCAGACCAATTGTTCATATTTGCAAATTATTTCACATTCGAGATCATAATTATGCGATTAAAGAACTCCATTCAACCATGAAATATTTTGACACTATTAATTTAGTGATCTTTTGATATGTTTACTCATAATAATTTCCATAAACAAAAAGTAGTATGAAAACAAACCAAGAACCTCAGGCTAGTTAAAAAGTGGAGCCTAGCCTAGTTTTTATAGATTGAATGAGAAAGTCCAAGCCAAGTAGGGCAAATGGATTATTGTGTTTGGAAAAATGAAAAAAGGGAAGTTAAACCAAAATTAATGAGTTTGAAGCTAACTTCCACTAGAACTTGACTAATGAAATTGTAAATTTAAAAATTACCTTGGATGTCCCATGGCTCCATTTTGTAAAGATCAATATCAACAATCACATCTAAGTCAATCTTCTGTGAGTTGATCTTCCTTTTCAAATAGTAACCCACCAATTCTTCCTCTGTTGGGTGAAATCTAAAGCCTGGTGGAACACAAGACTCCAAAATCTCCATTGATGAGCTTTTCATGAACTCCTGAAAAACACACCAGAAAAAGAAAATGTCAAGATGTAATAGGAGTTACTTCTAAAGTGATCATCCAACTTAGTACTACTCTCGTACAAACATAACATATTTAACTGTAGAATTCTGATGGAATCAGGTGCATTAGTACTATGGGTACCATGACACCCAAAACAAAACCCTAATTAAAACTTTGAAACCAAGACAATGGCTCAAATGGAAGTTTTGGATTTTGAGGGGGTGTGAATTAATGGCAGACAACAATGAGTAGAACCCACCAAAAAAAACCAAAAAAAAGAAGAGGAAAAAACATTTTGTAGTTAAAAATTTGAGAGACGAGAAATATTTTTTAGGTGATTTTTGAGCTGCATGAAGTGAAGGCTACTGTTTTTGGGGCCTAAAATACATAATAAGTTGGCCGAAAAGCTTGACTTTTGCTGCCACAAAGCATGTTACTACATTTCTTTGAGTGCAGTTCACTCCCTAATCCTCTCTCTCTCCTCTTGTGGTTTACAGACATTTTTCACACCGCAACCACCCTTTCTCTCTCGTAAGCTCCACGTGAGGACTTCAAAACGAAAAAACTTCTAATCGATTCTTTCTCGATAGATCGAAACAATGAGACAATTTTGGGATCGAGAAATTACTAAACAGAATTCGGAAACAGTTATCAAGATATCAAACAGATTTTGCCTCGAGCGAGCAGAGGCACACGACATGTTTTTACAGCTTCCTAATAACAAATGACGCATACTCACAGAGAATTTTGCTGCTAATTTGTGATTATGCTTCAAAGTTTTCCACAGAGATAGAGAGAGAGAGAAGATTGAATGGTGAATAAAGGAAGAGGGAGAGGAGATTGATATATATAGAAAGAGGAAATTTGGAGAGATTATGGAGAGGAGAGAATAAAAATGGGGAATTGGTATTGATTGCGCGTGGGGTGGCAGATGGAATAGAAAGGGTTTGTTTGGACGGCGTGAAACCATTGTTTTCACGCAACCCCCCTCCCTCTATTCTCTCTTTTTTGTGTTTTAAGACTTTGTATTTACTTTTTACAACCACATCACACACTATATATTATACATATATATTTTTTCTTTCTTATGGTTTTTTTTATTATGTTGCAAACTCTAGCTAGCTAGGGAAATTAGGTCGATATCGAGAAATTTGTAATAAATTACCATGTTCTAGAGGGTTTCTGAAAGCTTAAAAATTGGTAATATGTGCTTCGAAAGCTAGCGCTAGCTTTTCAACTTGTGTGTAAGTCAATTTGACTGGGATTTGAACATGGAGTTTATTGTTTTGTTTATGTTTGGCTACGAGTTTGCTAATCTCGTCTCTACTGTACATAAATAATTTAAGTTACACGTGTTATGTGTAAAGTTACTGTGTATTAGGTTCATTTGGAGTTGAGGCTAAAAAGGTTACGTGGGTCAAATTGATTGGGTCATACCATCCGATTAGACCATACCAGATTGGACTAGGACCCTCCAAGCCAACTTTCGAAGAGATCACTATGAATAAGAGGAGAGGTATGACACGTGAGGTAGGTTTTGCATAACTCTAATTTTTACTACTTTCAACTGAACTCTTTATCTGACTTAAGCATCAGAGTGCATTTGACTTAACGTCATATCAGTGTGCAGAGTGTGCAAGTGTTTGTTGGAGCATTCAACGTCCAAAACTCAAATTTAAATCCTGGATCAACAATGTACCAAGAGACTTTTAGAATTCACATTTGTGTACTCTACATTATTAACCTTTACAAATCCTAAACTTAATTAGGAACTAAATATGCTGTAATGTAAGATATAACACAAAACTACATAAATTTTTACATTCAAATATTATATACATATAATATTTCCATTCAACAAATCCTAGGGCAAAAAAAAAAAAAAAACCTTAAGATCTTTGTTTTTTTTCTCCGCCCCTATCAATAGTCTAATTTGATAATAATTTTGTTCTTTTGTCTTTGTGCTTTTAAAAATTAAGTTTATTTGTTAACAAACCTCTTTATCATATTATTCACTTTTAGAAAACTTAGTAACCCTTTTTAGTTTCAAACATAATTCCAAAAATAATTCTTTCCTTCTTATTATTTTCTTTTTGGTACATATAAGTTATTTCCCTAATAAAAAAAGAATTGGGAATGTTTTTTGATGAAACAACCAATGAAGAAGTTGAGGTTAAGGAATTGTCTGTTTTAGAAAAGTCGCTTTCAGTGACTCCCACAATCCAGCTCTGGCTGTCTCCTTTAGTGCGCCGCCCTTCGCCACGTGGCACCATCCCCTTGTCGCCACGTGACATTCCATGTCAGACTTTCCAGCTTGTCCTTGTGGAATTGCTAATCATTTGTGTTCCCCACATCTAATCCGATGTCTCTCATACATACATTTTTTTTTAAGTATTTATTTAGTCCTGTCATTACATAAGGATTACTGTAATCTTTCTTCAATAAATAAATAAATATCTCTTTTAGTACAAAATGTGGGAGTGGAAGATCGAACTTACAACTTCTTAATTGGAGATATATATCAATTACCCTCAGCTATATTGGTTTTGCCAATAAATAAATGTTACTTCCTTGGTGAAGAAATTATTTAGGACTCATTTAGTAACGTTATTGTTCTATTATTTTTTGTTTTTTGTTTCTTCTTTCCTCTTTCGTTGGTTCTCATTTTTTCTTTTATTTCTATTTTTTTTATTTTTTGTTTCTATTTTTTCTTTTTTAGTTAAGAAAAATAGCATGGAGTTTGGTGGTGGTTTATTGTTAGAGAAATAGAAATGTATTTGATAATCATTTCTTATTTCTTGTTCTCAATTTTAAATTAGAACAACTAAAATTTTACATGAAAATTATTTTTTCAAATTAAATATTCAAAATTTTGTGTTATATTATTTATTTTTATACTTGTTATGCATTTTATAAGTTAAGATTGATAAAATAATGCAATTATATCTCTATATTTTGAAAAAAAAAACTAGAAACATGAATAAGAAAGAAAAAACTTGATTTTGTTGTTTCCAAAATTTCTACACAATTTTAGACACATTTCATAGAAATAGGAGACAAGGGAGATGAATAGTTACAAACATTTATATTTCTGCAAAATTAAAAATGAGAAAAAAAAAACAGAAACGTTACTAAACATGTGTGTCTAATAAGTATGTACTTTCAATTTTATATATATAACAAGTCTGTAAATTTTAAATTATGTCTTATAGATCAAAGACATATTAGACACATCATTAAAATTTTAGGGGCCTATTAAACATTTTTAAAGTATAAGAATCAAGCACAAACGGTTTAATTAAGTTGATTAAATTGTATAAAATACCCATGAACTTTATGATAGGTTTCAATTTATGTCTCTGCCATTTCAAAAGTTTCATTTCTATTAAAATGAAGACAAAAATGTGACATGATAGTGAATTGTAAAATATAGGTTACACGTGAACACAAATGATAATATAACAGTTTTAGTGATATTGGAAATATTGATATCGAAAATGGAATAATATGAAAACCGTAAAATAATAGATGTTACATGTGGGCACAAGCCTAAAATTTCAAGGACCACGTATTCAAACTTTTGAAAGTTTAAGAATTAAAATAGAATACTCCCAAAATTCACGAACAAAAATATAATTAAAAGAAGAAAAATAAAGAAAATGTTTCTGTAAAAGTGTTTTTGTAGGGTATTCTAAATATATTGTTTTTTTATATCTATTTTCCAGAGGGATCATGGCAATAATGTTTTCATTAAAGTAAAAAAAATAATAGTCTCTTCATTTGTAACATGATATTGTAAAAAAAAAAATATGTAAATTATTAAATTTGATATCGATATGGACTATTATAAAATTAATTTTTCCCCTAAAAAGTCTTATTGAATATTTTTATGGATATTGATTCATTCCGTTAGAGATATTATATTTCTAATTTCACATGAATTAATTTGGAGAAAAATTTCGTAGTTAAGAATATAATTCTTAAAAAAGTTATAATAGTATTAATAAATCTTCTCCGAATATGAGTTTGGAGGGTTAAAAGTATTGTTTGATGATATAAATTTTGTATTTTGTATTTTATTTTTTATTTTTAATAAATAAGACTGATACTAGCTTACTAATCATTTTTTTTAACTTTTTGAAAAACATTTGGACATATTAGTCAAATTAAAAATAAATATTTCCTTTAGAAAATTACCCTTGTTACCTTTGAAATGAATAAAAAAAAAAAAATCTAAATTGCTTTAAAAAATATATTATACCATAAATATGGTTAAACCATTTTTACTTTTCAAAAATATGAAAACTAAAAACCAAATAGTTAGAATAGGATCTTAAATTATTGTAATAAGTATTTTTTTTTTCTGAAAACAGAATTTTAACATATATTTTTTTTAATAGTTAGAATAGGATCTAATCATTAACTCTCAAGAAGTAGGAGCATTGTTTTTAGGGAGGGAAAGCGTCGGAAAAGTGATAACTCAAAATTCTCCCCAAGTAAGATTTGAACCTACGACCAGTCAGTTAACAATCGACCGCTCTATCACTGAGCTAGTGAGGAACAACGGACTTAAGGAAGCCCACTCTCGTTCTTTGGACCTACTTCTGACCGAACAAAAAAGGGTGGAGTCACTCTTTTTCACATATACCGGGAGAAAAGGTTACGATAGCAAGCCCCTCCCCGACCGGAGAGCCTCCAGGACAAGGGGGYGGCGGTCAACCATCCACTCTCGAGATTCATATTGATCAATCGATCTCCGCATCCTGCCAGTAAAGTAGATAGTGATGATGAACTACTTAAAACTACTTAAAATTAAGAGGTACTTTTTATGATTTAATCTTAATATGAAACGAGAGAAAAAAAAAAGAGAAAAAGTTTCTTCGTCAAGATTTTAATATTGATTTTTTTTTTGTCTTTAAGGACAAAAGCACATAAAACCGAGGTTTTAAGTGTCGATGTCAATGGACATGTCTAGGTCTCAATTTCATGGAAATATCGATAAATTAATTAATATTAATATTATGTATATATTAGCAACATTTTGTTGATATTTTTTTTTTATATTTTGTCAATTTTTTTGTACTATGATGGAAATGTTGATTTACCCCTCATGTCTATGTCGAACCCATGAAAACATGGACATGTCGATGGAAATGTCGACGGATATTTAGAACCATGCATAAAACCAATTTGTCATAAAATCAAATTTTTTTAACAATGAAAATTTAAATACAATTTGTCAAACCACCTCAATTATTGATGGCTTTGTTGAAAAACTAAAATTTTTATCCAATTTTAAAAGTGGTGTTATTAGAAAACATTTAAAAAAAGAAATGTATATTTACATTCAGTCTTAAAATGATCAATTTTTTAGTCTTAAAATGATTATGTTTTGATTTTAAAAAATTAAGGATAATATAGGAACAATAAAAAAATTATATAGAAAAGTGAAAATATAAAAAATTTCCACCCTAGCACCATTCTAATTTTGGCTAAGTTTGATATTTATTTAAATGAAAGAAACCAAAAGGAAAAAAGAAAAAAAAAACTAAAAAGGATTACAATAAATGAAGTAAAGAAAAGAAGGGGCATAAATGTAGTATATTGTAATATCCTTAGAAGCCCTTTTGATTATTTAAATTTCTTGTAGTGTTTGTTTATTTACATCAGGAAGAACTTGATTTCTGTTTTTTATAAAAATGTTACAAGTAAAATTAATTAACCCAACTCTTAAAAGAAGTTTTAAATAAATAATTCTAAAAAACATTAAAAATATTTTTTACAGGTCAGAAGTTAGTAGTTTTTTTAGTTCAA